CGTTTTCCTTCAAGTAGCTATAGATAAAACTGGAAGCATCATTATAGGAAAAAKTTTAAGTGCGTTTGATTTTTAAATTTTTACGAAATCGCGTAACGATAACGATTTATCCTCAAACCAGGTGTTTGTATATCTATGATAATATAAGGTAATATGAATAATGATAACTACATCCAATGTTTTTGGAAAAATTGATTAACCATGCCTTATGAAAAATTCGTCATAATTGAAAAATAATTTATTTGTTTCAAAATAGAATATATTATGACAATATTTAAATGTTAAATMTAATAKATCCTAGACTGACAAATCATCTCCGTAAAGAATCGTTTTTCGTATACAATGATACCTATCATTGCATTCAAATTTAATCCCATCCATTACAGTAACCTACTGTACAGGAGAGCGACATCCACGACTTACACGCTTTTTTTTTTTTGGTAAATTCTAAGAATATTTAGATTAATGTTTATGTACAAATTAAATTAATTAATATCTGCAAGTGTTAGTGTTATGATAATAGTGTTCACATTAGGATTTAAACTGTAATTAATTGTTTATTAATTAGTAGGTAAATTAATTATATTCTTATATTATATTTTAAATGGATAACATTATTTATATTCAAAAATAATTCATATATAAACTAAATATCATAAATAATACTAAAAACTACATGTTTTCAAATATTTTAATATTTAGTGCACTTTAAAAAGTTATCTTTKAACCAGATGTGGTTGAAAATACAACAATTATATTTTGCTGACAGAAAACAAAATTCCATAAGTTTCTAGAAAAAAAAAAAGCTGTTAAAATGAAATGACAATATATCTAACATCAGTTGATAGTATGAGAAAATCAAAAATTGATAACCATCAAGAGAATACTGCTGAGTTGTGGCAAAAATCAGATACTGACATACTGACAAATTCACAATCACTACCTATACGATTATTTTCAAGGACCAACGATGGTGATATTGTCATTGAAATGTTCAAACATAGAGTATTTAAATTTAAAACATTCACAAAAAAAAACCTTATTTCGATTATTATATTGGCAATATTAAACTAGTACATTTTGAAAATGTACTCTAATTATCTCACTTAAGAAAATTTAAATGATATTTAAATACYATATCATAATACAACCTGTTACACATTTCAGCCGCAATCGGTTTCTAATTCCCAGGAAAAACTATGTGGGTAATATAAAGTTTGATTTGATTCTATCAGGTACATAGAATTGACTATTGTTTGACAAAGCATAAAATTCTTAAATTAACTATGTAACTGGAAATAGCATTTAATTAACCATACAATACATTTCATATTTGAATTTTAAAGTAATTCCAACACCATAATAGCATATTATTTTTTAATTATTTACAAATTAAGATTTGGCCTTGGATCTTCATAAAATCAACTTTTAACACAAAAGACCGTAAATTGTAATTTTATTGTAACAAGATTCATTATACGTAGTGGATAGGATAACAGGATTTAGTAGCATATAAA